AAAAGAGTGTTTGTGATGACCAGCTTGTTCTCTTGACAGAACTCTATTAGCCTTTGCCCTGCTTTGTTTTGAACTCCAAAGACAAACCTACCTATTGTTCCTTTTATCTCTTGACTTTAGTATTCCAATCCCCTATAATGAGAAGAACATCTTTCTTTGGTGTCAGTTCTAGAAGATGTTGTAGGTCTTCATAGAATTGGTTAATTTCAGCCTCTTCAGCATGGGTGGTTGGTGCATAAATTGAAGATTACTGTGATGTTGAAAAGTCTGCCTTGAATTCGTATTGAAATCATTCTATCATTTTTGAGATTGTATCCGAGTACAGCTTTTCCCACTCTTTTTTTGACTATGAGAGCCACTCCATTCCTTCTACGGGATTATTGCCCACAATCATAGATATGATAATCATCTGAATTGAATTCCCCCATTCCTGTCCATTTTAGTTCGCTGACGCCCAGGATGTCAATGTTTATTCTTGCCATCTCCTGTTTGACAGCATACAGCTTCCCAAGGTTCATAGATCTTACATTCCAGGTTCCTATGCAGTATTTTTCTTTGCAGCATCGGACTTTCCTTTCACTTCCAGGCCACATCCACAGCTGAGCGTCCTTTCGGCTTTGGCCCAACCACTTCATTAGCTCTGGAGCTACTTGTACTTGTCCTCTGCTCTTCCTCAGTAGAATGTTGGATGCCTTCCAAACTGAGGGTCCCATCTTCCAGTGTCATATCTTTTAGCCTTTTCTTTCTGTCCATGGAGTTTTCTTGGTAAAGATACTGGAGTGGCATTGCCAATTCCTGCTCCAGGTGGATAGCGTTTAGTCGGAACTCTCCACTATGACCTGTCCATCTTGGTTGTCCCTGCATGGCAGAGCCCATAGCATCTCTGAATTACTCAAGCCCCTTTGCCACGACAAGGCAGCAATCAGTGAAGGGGAGATAAATAGATATACAGTGGTGCCTCGCACAGTGAGGTTAATCTGTTCCGGATTAACCCTCGCTGTGTGAAAACATCGCTGAATGAGGCAGAAAAGCCCATTGGAACGCATTAAACTTCGTTTAATGCGTTCCAATCGGCTGATTTACTCACCGTTCAGCGATGTTTTGCAATGGCCAGCAGCCATTTTCGCGCCCTCCCCTCGCTTAACGAGGGCGCGAAAACGCTGCGCGCGGCCATTTTGGGGCTTCCGGCGGCCATTTTGTAGCCGCCAAACAGCTGATCGCGGGTCGCAAAGTGAAGGTCGGTAAGCGAACCGCTTACCAACCTTCGCTCTGCGATTTTCGCCCTATGCAGGCATCGGTGTGCGATCGCATTTGCGATCACAAAACCGGCCTCGTAGAGCGAATTCATCGCTCTGCGGTGCACTCGTTGTGCGAGGCACCACTGTGTTTAGCTCCCTCTCTTCCACCCAGAATGGAATTCTGTCTCTTTGAGATGATAGAAGAGGGTCATCAAGTCAGCCTGGGTGGTTTGGGGGCTGATTTCCTTTCCCCCACCTTCCTTTTTATAACATCCATCTTGATTCTCATTCATGGTGAACGAGGTCCAGGTGGGTGGGGTTCCCATACTTAAGAAGGGGAAAGAGGAAAGTAATCCTGATTTTGGTAAAGAAAGTTGGCGTGGTTGGCGGTTGCTGTTACTTCTGTGACTTGCTTGTTTCTTGTTCCTTAGCTCTGTCGTCCACTTTAGAGACAGGACTTGGGCTTTTATTTATTTGCTTGCTTGCTTGATAGCATTGAGAGCAGCGGATGAGGAAAGGTGCCACTCTGCACCACGGTGAAGTGTGTTCATATTTCAGGAATACAGTAAAGGGAGTCTGGGTTGGTTTTATGTATTTCTTTACACATTTATCTGATTTTTTTTCATCCAGCCTGGCTTCCCTTGTGGGAACCCAAGGCAGCATATCAAAAATTTAAAATCAAGAATTAATTGAGACTTGATTGAGACTTAAAACTGTAGTATATGCATATTTAAAACATTTTTTGAAAAAGTGAATGGGTCTCACTTGATTTGTCAGAGCTTGCCCGTCCTTTGATGGAGGCCACCGGGAGGGAGGGAGGGCTGCTAGGAACAACCCCCCCCCGTTCTCTTCGCCTCCCTCTTCCCGAGCCCCCTGGGCTTTGTTTTAAGTCCACCCCTTCAGCTGCTGCCTCTGCCAAAGGTCTGGGAAAGGCAGCGCTCTCTAAATAGGTGTCTGAAAGAAGCTTTAGGGAGCCTTGCTCTTTCAAATTAAGGCAAACGAGAAGGCATGGCCCGGGGGTCGGGGGGAGACACTTCAGAGTCCCCAGGGCAGGGGAATTAAGGCTTTTTCTAAAGCGCCTTTTCGCGGGAGTGTTGGGGAGCCTGGCCTCCCCAACCTGAAAAACCCCAAGGGGTCTTCTCTTTGATGAACGAACCTTTTCCGCAACCGGAAGCAAACCCTGCCTTGCCAGTGGATGTCACGGAGCGGGCACAATCCTTTTGCCATCCACGGTGCTGGGCCTGAAGGCTTAGATTCGGTGCAAGGCTTGCTGGATCTCCGGAGGCGTGGTGGGGCTTTGCTCCGATCCAGCGTTGTCCAGAGTCCTCCTTTCCAGCCGCCAAGTGTCACCGAGGCTGCCTAGGAGTGGGAGGCGGACATCACTCCTGAAGGGCTGTCGGAAAGCTCTCCCGACGCCGTGTGCGGGCGTGCGCTCAGCGCACTTTTGCGGGGGAGCAAAGAAGGCTTCCCTCTCGCTCTCACCGGCCCCTTCATTTCCCCGTCTTCTCTTCCCAGCTCAGCCGATGCACCAACCGTGTCCTGAAGTACGAGCTGATGCGCCCCTCAAACAAAGTCCAGCTTGTGGTGCTGTGTGAAGACCACCGAGGGAGGATGGTGAAGCATCAGTGCTGCCCGGGCTGCGGCTTCTTTTGCACGGCGGTAAGCCTCCTCTGGAACCGGCCAGCATCCGCGCGGCGTTTCGGTGGGAGGAAAGGCGACGGCTGCCGGTCGGGGAGAGGAGCCGCCGGAGGGTTCTGATCCTTCTCCCTGAGCCCTCGAGGAAATACCCTGGTTAAGGCCAAGGGTCCACCCGTTCCAGAAGCAAAATCCGCTTTTCCCGTGGCTGTCTGCTGGCCCTCTTTTATGGCTCTGCTCTTTGAAGCCTTGCCTGCTGCAGCAGAAGCAGTGGTTTTGGTTTAAAGTCTCCTGCTTCGGGATGTGGCGTTTTTGAGGAGACTCGTTGCATTGGAGTCTGGATCATGCCCACAACTTGTCTAGCCAGACCAAAGATAGTAAAGCCCAGGTTATTAGTTCAGAAGTGACACACAGGACCAGGAGCAGAATGCAGCAGACCATTTTCCTGCCTCCGAACCCACTTCAAGGTTCATCATCATTCCTCCCACCCCCCATGAATGGTTGAAAGTCAGTGCTGAGTGTGGAGGGACTCAGGTGTCCTGTGCTTCCTTCTCGGGCAAAAACACCCCTTCTGCATGTTCTCAAGGGCAGAAAATGCCCTCCTGTGCACACAGGACCAGGAGCAGAATGCAGCAGACCATTTTCCTGCCTCCGAACCCACTTCAAGGTTCATCATCATTCCTCCCACCCCCCATGAATGGTTGAAAGTCAGTGCTGAGTGTGGAGGGACTCAGGTGTCCTGTGCTTCCTTCTCGGGCAAAAACACCCCTTCTGCATGTTCTCAAGGGCAGAAAATGCCCTCCTGTGCCTTTGGCGTAAGATAGTAAAGCCCAGGTTATTAGTTCATAGGTGACACACAGGACCAGGAGCAGAATGTAGCAGACCGTTTCCCTGCCTCTGGACCCACTTCAAGGTTTAAAGTTCACCCCCCTCCCCCCCCCCCCCCCCCAATGAATGGTTGAAAGTCAGCGCTGAGTGTGGAGGGGCTCAGGTGCCCTGTGCTTCCTTCTCGGGCAAAAACACCCCTCCTGCATGTTCTCAGGGGCAGAAAATGACCTCCTGTGCCTTTGGCGTCCTTGCTGCTCCTCCTGCCGAGGGATCAGGCCCGCAACCAGGCGTTGCTACCCCTCGGTTAAACTGCAGTCCCGCAGCCAGCACTCCGCTCACACACACCCCGGGGTCCCATCCCAGGCAGCCGGCTCAAGGTCGGCTCAGCCCTCTATCCTTCCGGGGTCAGTGAAATNGAAATGCTTGCTGGGGGGGGGGGCTGAGGGCAATGTCTGGGCTGCAGAATGAAGCTGTAAACCGCCCAGAGAGTGCCGTAAGCGCTGGGGTGTGTGTGTATAAGCTGCATGTTTTCTTGCATGGGAGACTGGGGGTCCCGACCCAGAGATTCTGGGCGTCAGGAATAGGGTGCCTCTGGAGCATTCAGTGGAGCCCCTCTCCCCCTTGTTTATCCCCCGTGTCTGGTCTATGGCGTCAGGAATAGGGTGCCTCTGGAGCATCAGTGGATTGGCTCATAAGGACATCAAGCAGGGCTTTGGAGCTTGATCTGATGACAGATTTCTCTAATCAAAGACCCTTTTGTAAACACAGCATCTGTTTGCTTATTTGTCCATTTAGCATGCCCTCCCTTCTAGCCTAAGGCCACTGTGGAAAGTTCACAACACAATCAAACAATAAAGCATCACTACCAATATAAAATGAATTCAACCTATAAACACCCTAAAATATTACTGCAATTTAAAAAAAAAATTACACATTAACACACAAAAATGTTTAAATGTTGGTACGATGGTCTCGATGGCTGATCATTTCATCCGGTTCCCGTTGATGGAAAGGCCTTTCTGAACAGCCAGGTTTTTAGACATTTTCTAAAAGTTATCTCTACCCGGGTTGGGGGGGCAGGGAGCAGAGGTCCGGGGCCCGTCGGTTCCACAGCTGTGGTGTGACTGCCTAGAAGGCCCCGCGGCTGGCCCTTCCTTGCCCCCGCTGGGCTTCTCTCGGGCTCAGCCACCCTCAGACATCCCGCCCGGGACGAACAAGCCGGGCAGGCCGTTCTGGATGGGGGAGCTGGCCCTCTGCTGGGTCCCGAAGCATTCAGTGGAGCCCCTCTCCCCCTTGTTTATCCCCCCCCGTGTCTGGTCTGCAGGAAGGCACTGCTCCTGAACCTGGCTTAACTGTCCTGCTTCGTGGTTTCTGTAGTAAACCCTCCCACACCTTTTTAGCTTTGAGCCCCGAGCCGCCTGTGTGAGTCCTTCTCCCAGCTTCCCTCAGCTTTGTTCTCCCAGTAACCCTGCGAGGCAGGCCAAGTGAGGAAAGAGGGAGCGGCTCAAGGTCCCTCGGTGAATGCGGTGGCTCAGTGGGAGGGGATTACGAGAACCCGCACCGTCTCCTTACTTTTGCACGCTTGTGATACGGCCTCTGGAGGTGTTGATAGATGCCTTTCAGAGGCCGGGAGGAGGGGGGGGTCCTCTCTGGGCTGTCCTCCAAGCCAGACCTGGGGAAGGAAGTCCTGCTCCTCCTGCATCCTTCTCGGTGGGTCTCCTCTGCCTCTGCAAAACCACAGGGAATGAAAGCCGTCAGGGCTGCCCTGGAAGCGCCTCTTGGCAGGAGCGGGAAGTCCGCATCTTGATCGATCACCCGGCAGGTGGAATTCTCCCCTCTTTCCTCCTTTGGGAATTGGCCTCCTTGCTGCAACCTGCCCTCATCCGTGTAGCCGGGCCGTGGGGGGGGCAGCAAGTGGGGAGGGGAGGGGAGGGAGGCCTTGGGGGTCTCTCCTGGCTGCTGCTTATCCCGAAGGAGGCTCCCTCAGCAACACCCTTCAGGCTTAGTGGCCGTGTGGATCTTTCAGTCGCTAAGGGAGCACCTGCAGCTACAGTGCTTGTTTTCCCCTTCTTCATTTGCAAAGCCTTTCAGTCGCTAAGGGAGCACCTGCAGCCACAGTGCTTGTTTTTTTCCCCTTCTTCCTTTGCAAAGCCTGCCTCCCTTCCTTCCATTCATCATCAGCTCCTTCCTTCTATTCATCATCAGCTCCTTCCTTCCCCTATAATATTCCAGGTAAGGGGGAGGGCTTGAACGAGGCTGCCTTCCACCTCTTGCATCTGGGGAGCTCCTGCCCTTTGCCCTCACCTTCCCCCACTTTCTCCTTTTCATGCACCGCCTTTCAAGAGGGTGCACCCTTGGGCTTTCATCGGAGGAAGACTGAGAATCGGGTTTCCTTTCCCTTCTTCTGCCCGTGTGGTTTCTGTCCAGGGCCTTGGTTTACAGCTAGTGGCAGAGGGGGTGCCGAAGCCCGGCTCCATTGCCCAGGGCGATCCCCCCAAGGCGCATTGCTTGCTTCTGAGGATGGCGGAGAGGACGCCTTTTTGGGGCGCTGACTTGCCTCTCCCCTCTGGCTTTCCCTGGGATTGGCACGAGCGGCTCCTGTCGTGCAGGGCCCTTTCACAGGCTCCCATGCCCCGCAAGAGCCGCCGAACCCAGGGAGGGTTGCTTTTCTGGTTCGGTGGACTGACTCCCGTCGGGATTAGTGCCTGGACTTGAGCTCCTGACATGTAAGGGAGGCACCTGCAGATCCAGGGGACATGGGCTGGCCCGTGGGGGAATTGAGCTTCTGACCCGTGGCGTCCAGCGCCTACCTGGCTGAGCTCTCCCAGGGAACCAGTGGCCACATCTGGGCTAGAGCGAGAGGCGGTTTGGCTCCTTCAAGGGAGGAAAAGCTTGAAAGAGAGAATCGGAATGAGTAAGACACGTCGGGCATTCTCTGCGCTGCACATTCTTCAGAATGGGTCTGGCGGTGGCGGTTGCGGGGTGGCGCATGGCCGTCTTTGTGGCTTGAAAGCCAGGGTGCGCTGTGGCGCGTTGAGAAACTTCTCGCTTGGCTGAAGTTTCCTTGGGAGCATCCCAACGATTCCTACCTGATGGAGAAATGCCACGTTGTGCCTCTTTTCGTGGGGCCCTCGGCAAGCCCATTGTAGTAGGACCAAACAAAGAGCGAGTCTTGTGAAAATGTAAAGGTGCTTGCTTGTTGTTTGCCATCGGTTTTCACAGAGCGCCTCCGACAATGGGGTGGAGTTCATGTGAAATGCAGCTGTCTAGTCTCCCAGAATCCTCCCACAAGTGTCTCTGGAGGGTATTGTGGAACTGATGACCATTTAACCTTTCCAGAAATGTTCTGTGCCATGTGGCTGGTCTTGCTCTCCCGATCCGGCAGTTGTAGTTGGACAGGAGCACCAGTTGATGCCACAAAGAGAGGGAGCAGGTGGTTCCTCAAGAAGATGGCATTGCCCCTTGGTCCTTGTCCGCCATACCAGGGAGACGAGGGGTTGATGGGGTGGGTGCCCAGAGACCTCCAGGGAACAAGGTCTTTTCCCCGTCTCTACTACAAGGTATCCACGTTGCCCTCTCGGGTTCTCTCTCTCTCCAGGGGACGTTCATGGAGTGCCAGCCAGAAAGCAGCATCTCCCACAGGTTCCACCAGGACTGTGCCTCCCAGGTCAAAGGCCTGAGCTACTGCCCGCACTGTGGGGAGGAGGCCTCCAAGGCCAGAGAAGTGACCGTCGCCAAGGCCGACACCACCTCCACCCTCTCGCTGACCTACGAGCCGAAGAAGCTGGGCGCCTCGGAGGGGAGGGCGGACACGACCACGGGAAGGCAAGTCCCACCTGGGCGGCCGGGGAGGGGACGTCACCCCGGTTGCTTGGTGAGGCGTTCCGCCCTGAACGGGCTTGTCATTGCCTGGTTCCACACACACTTCAAATCGAACTAGCACAGATTGGCCGTGAGGGGTAGTGAATGCTAAAGGAAAGGTGAGTGAGGGGAAGTCAAGGATGAGTGAGGGCAAGTCAAGGGCGAGTGAGAGCAAGCCAGGGACGAGTGAGGGCAAATGAACAGTCACTTGGAGTGGCGAGAGTAGCAAGGAGAAGGCATGGCTTCACGCACACATACACAGGTAATCGCCTAAATCTGGAGCTGATTGGGGCGATTCCATCTTTGGCTTTTCCAGGTGCAGCATTCCTTGAACCTTTGGTTAACAGCCTTGTGCCTACCCACGTTCCTTTGCCAAGAAGGTGCGATGACAATATCAGGCGAGGGGAGGGGAGGTCCCCATGGGAGGAAGTTTTGTGTGCAAATGAAGTGGAGAATGCCCTTTTTTGGCAGATTCTCAGTAGAAGCCTGTCCGGTTTTCGGAAACGCTTTTGGAAACTTGGTAGGCGGTTCCACACTGTGTGTGTGTGTGTTTGTGTGTGTTTGTGTGTGTGTGTGTGTGTGTAACCGCTTACCAAGGCAGAACGTGCTCCAGCTGTGACTGCAAGGAATGGCCTCGAACTTGGGAGGTTTAGGGTACTAACGTGTGTGTTGAAGTTTGGGAAGGCGCCAGGAAAGCAGCTCGCCTGCCAGCAGTTTTCCAAAAAGATTTTTTTTCCCTCCCATTGAACCGTCTCTGCCAACCGTGGCAGGCGTTGGGTCGCAGCCTTTCAGAGGAGGAGAGCACGCCACCCCATCTGATCCTTGCGCGGAGCGAATACCGGGGTGGCATTTGACTGTTTCTGGGGTTTGGACTTACCTCTCCTCCTGTTTTGTCCTCCTGCCTCCTCTCCTCCCCCCCTCCCCCCCTGGCTGAACAGCGGGACGGGAGCCCAGGCGTCCGAAGAGGGAAGATCCGAGAGTTCTTCTGCCGAGGGTTTCGACTTGGCCGGGACGTTGGCCTTCTCCAAAGCAGCCCCAGCCGGCGTCTCCCAGGGACCGGTGAAAGAAACCCTAGAAAGCGCTTTGATTGCCCTGGACTCGGAAAAGTAAGAAGTGGGTTGCCTGGAGGGGGAAGGGGGGCAGAAAACACATCACAGCGCTCTCAGAAGTGGGTCTGGAAGCTGGTGGTCCTGTTGTTGGTGTAGTCTGTCATCTTCCCTGCAGCTGCCAAGCCCTGACGTGGCGCTTTGGGGCTCGCTTGCTCACTTCCTCGTTCCTCGCCTGTTGGCAGGGGCCGGCTCTGCCGTTAGGCAGGGAGAAATGATCCCTACCTAACAGCTATGGGCTGTTCATGACACGAAAGGGCAGCGAGATATAACTTATTTTGTTTAGCACAACCTCCTATTTAATGAGGGCTTTGGAAACAAAGGAAAAACTTCTGAGATGATGATGGCTGTAACAGCACAATCATTCTTCTCCCACCAAGCCCTGATTTTGATAGCACGGGAGGAAATTGCATCCTTCCTTAACCAGGTTTTTGGCCTCGTTTGCAAAACTAACTGAGGTGGCTTAGGGGACTGCATGCCTTGAAGCACAGGCATTGTGTTCTGCTGGGACTCGGGCAGCAAAATAAAGGTCTGGGGTTGGCCCCAGATTCAGTGGAGGGCGGCTGTGGTTTTACCAAGCTCCCTTTGGATGCTTTCATGGAAGGAGGCCGTAAGGGACGGATGAGTGAAGGCCAGCTGGGATCTGGGAGGAGAATCTGGGGTTGAATTGCAGGCAGACATTCAGTGCCTATTGCTCAGTAACTGTGACGCCCAGATGGACCTTGAGGAGCCACAACTTTCATTGTTACGACTCCCCCCCCTGCCCCCCCGCCCCCCCGATGCAGGTTACAAAGCTTCTGAGCCTGCTGAGGTGCGCTCTGCCTTTGTGCCGAGATGGTACCATTTGGGTTGTGTTTGACTCTGTACTTATGGGTGCAGAAAGTTAAAGATGGGACTCGTCCACATTTTTGCACATTTGTTGGGATGCTGTGGCAGAAGGGGTGGAATTTGATGCGGATCGCATTGCTGATACATGTGTGATTTTGTGATTCTTACTTTGTGTGTGTGGGGGGGGTGTTGTTCCAAGTCTAGGGAAATGGATCAGTGCCTTCTAGTTAGGAAGGAACAGCTGTGTCAGGGCAGGGCCGCGCTTTTGTGTGTTAAGGATCCCTCCCTCCCTCCCTCCCTCGCCCAGCAAATCATCTTGTCTTTTGACAGACCCAAGAAATTACGGTTCCACTCCAAGCAGTTGTACTTCTCCGCCAGGCAAGGGGAACTGCAGAAGGTTCTTCTTATGCTGGGTAAGTCACCTTGATCCTCCCCCCCCCCACCAAAAGGTCTCCCGGTTGCAGAGGAGTTTCTGTTCGCAGGTAGCCTCGATGGGCCCTGTCGCCTTCGAGCAGGGCAGCGCCTCTGCTGTGTGCAAGAGAGGGGTTTGATCCGAATCCCCCCCCCGCCAGCTCCTCAAAAGGAGAGGGTGGGCCTCTCTCTTTTCTGGTTCCTTTCCAGGAATCAGGAGGCTTCCAGGACGGCAGGGCTCGTAGTTGGTTTGGGACCACCCTGACGGTCCAGAGGCGGCTCCGTCCTTTGGAATCTGGGGTGGCGAGCGAATCCTTGGCTCTCGCTCAGTGGGGCCACCCAGGGCTCCCGGTCTCTTCTCTTTGGCAACGTGGTGCCATTTCTAGCCGTGGTTTCTTCATGTCTCACGGGACCTGCTCTTTGCTGGGCCTTTGGCATTATTCATGAGCGGGCAAGTGGCTGGAGTTAAGTGCATCATCCCTGATGGAGAGGAAGAGAGAGAGGTTTCCCTGGCAAGCAATCATCCGCCGTCGAGGGCACCAGAGCAAACTCCCAGCGCCAGCCGTCTTCAGGGGCTGCTTCCCCCTTAACGGGAAGCGAAACGCTCACCCGCTCGTCGCCCCTGTCTCTCCACCGCAGTCCGTTCTCATAGGGCAAGATCCTGGTGTGATCTTGGAAACACCCAGGGAGGAAGGGGTGGGTGTGTGGCAGAGCTACACTCTTTGATCCATGATCTGGAGAGCCTGTCCAAAAGGCGGCTATGGTTAGCAGTGTCAGAAGCTGCAAAAGACCCAAACGAGTAATTTCCAGGCACAAATCAGAGTGCTGCTTTGTTTGTACCTATAGAGCCCTCACTGGCTTGGGTCCGAGCGGTCTCCAGGACCGCATCTCCCCTTAGGAGCCTGCCCAGGTCTTGACATCACCAGGGGAGGCCCTTCTCTCAGTCCCATCATCCTCGCAGGTCCTCTTGGTGGGGACATGGCAGAGGGCCTTCGCTGCTGCTCCTGCTCCCAGACTTTGGAACTCCCTCCCACTGGAAGCCAGGCTGAGGCCCCATCTTTCTCTAAATAAAATTGAAGGGTTTGTATTTTTGTTGTTTTAAAATCTATTTTTAGTAATGCTCTTACCTAACATTTTTAATATAATGTTAATTTGATTCTTTTAAAACTGTTTGAATAACATACTGTTATTAGCTCTTAATGATGTGTCTTTGACTCAATAGCTGCCTTGGGCATCCTTTTTTTTTTGGGAAAAAAAGATGGGGTAAGGAGATTATCAGTCAAGCCACCAGCCAAGCAATTAGTGGCCAGAATCCCGGGTGAGGTGGGAGGGTGGGGGAATGTGACTTGCACATAGAGGAGATAAACTACACAACCCACTGTGACACATGGTTGTGGAGGTGCCAGTTCCGGTTCTGAGGCCCGTGCCCGGTGTTCAGATGGGAGTGGACCTTCTGTGATCGCGGCCTCCTAAGTTAACCTCGGTTCACGGGGGCGAGTCGTGTTGCTGACTTCCAGACATGGAAAACCCAAAATCGGATGGTGGCCAGGGGATTAGCTGGAGACCCCCAAAGGCCCCACAAGCCGAGGCCTGAACCCGGCAGCCCTGTCGCCTCTCTTTTCGGAGGGACCCAAAACAGGGGCGCCTCCTGATGAAGGTGGGGCGCTCTCGTTTTGTCCAGCCCAGGAGCAAGCAGGAAGCAAGCCCAAGTAGAAAGATGTTTTGAGCCGTCCAGGATAATCTTGAGACTTGTTCCAAAGCTGTGGCCCATCACGGTCCTGGTTTGGGAAATCACCCATCTTAGAAGACTCCCAGGGTGAGTCTAGCCAGGAAGAGTCACTCGGCGGAGGTCAGGAATCGAGGCAGGGCGGTCTCTCCCGCTTGTGTCAGCCACCTGGCAATCATAGCGGAGTGGAGCGAGAGAGAAAGTCTGCTGAGGGCGGGAGCGTCGTCCGAAACCCTTGGATATCGGTGCTGTCTGACAGCACAATCTCTGTCTGCGGAGGTTGCCTGATAAGTCCCTCCAGTGAGCAAGGATGATCAAGGAGCTAGATTGAATCTTGCTCCCTGGAATGTGTCAGGAAAAGAACCCTCGCCCCGCTGCCTCAGCTTCCCACCGTGAGCTGCCAGCCTCTCTCTCTCTCTCTCTCTGTTTCTCTCTCAGCTGGAAAAGCCCCCCTGTTATTTTTAACTTTTGCAGTGGACGGGATTGATCCCAACTTCAAGATGGAACACCAGAACAAGAGGACCCCTCTTCACGCTGCAGCGGAGTCGGGACACGTGGACATCTGCCACATGCTGATTCAGGTTCGCCCTATTTACCCCCCCTTCCTTTCCCAAATATGGGGCAGAGGGGGAGGCAACGCTGGTCCCTCTCTACAAGCCAGGCACCCGTTGACCGGCTTCCCCCAGGCAGCCGCACCTGATCCACCAGCGAGATTGCGTGGTTTTTACCCTTCCGTTAAACCAGTGGTTCCACCGTTGGGTCTCCCTGGTGCTCTTGGACTGGGGTTCACCACCAGCTGTGCTCGCTGAGGTTTCTGGGAGTTGTAGTCCAAGAACGCCCGGGCGACTCGAGGTTGGGGGCCGCTGTGTTCAACAGATCTCGGTCGGCTTGTAAGTGAACAATAATGGATCCTGCAAGATCTATATCCCTGCTAGACCTAATATCGATTTAGGAGTCTCACTAAGTGCACATTGATGCAGTAGACAAGGCAGGCACGTGGGGGAACCGCTCTACGCCGTTCTGGCTGGCTCGGTTTCGTCTCTGTCGTAGGTTCTCTGACGCCACCTCCAGAGATCCCTGAGTGGCGGCCGGAGCATGGCAGCGTTGGGGCGGAGACGCGCTCCCTCCGCCTTGGCGTTTGGTCCGACCTGTGGCTGGGCCCTCCAGGGTTCTGCTCCTGTTTCTGGGAAAGGGTTTGGCGTCTTCGCAGCAGTTAAAAAGTTCCAGACCAAAAACTGTCCGGGCTCAGGGCTTCTGCAAGCAGCTGGAGCCGCCAGCCTGGATTGAGCTGAAGACCCCACCATGCAGCGGTTCATATCCAGGCCGCTCATTCCCAATGAATGAGGGGGAAAGAAGCTACATTTCTGGGCCTGGTGTAGTTGATGGCAGAAAAATCCTCTCTCTGCCTCCCCCACCCTGTCAGCTCACCAGAGTTGCGCGCCCCTGATCTTTCCGGATGCAAAGAGGGTGGCGGCCGCCGGGGTGATGGCGACATCACAGAGGATGCGATTTCCCTCAGAGCCCGTGCTGTGGGCAGCCAAGAAGAGCCCACGGGGGGGGGGGGGGCGGGGG